AGTCCTTTGCAGGCGGACAGCTCTAGCCGCCTGCAAAGGACTTCCCCACGTTTGCTTTGGTAGAAATCTCTGCGCGGCAGTTAGAAACTGCTGCGCTGGGGTTTCTTGCCACGTGCGCGGCCGAGCAGCCGCGCACCTTAGAGGGAACAGTGACTACAAATTCACTTAACAACCGTGTTATTAACTTAACAAATGCAATGATTCACTTAACAGTGCCAAGATAAGTTGTAAAGTGGGGCAAACTCACATGTTTCAGTTAGCAACATTAATTTTGGACTCAATTATGGTTATAACTCGAAGAATACCTGTAGATAATATCTGTGCCACAATGCAATGAAATGCCTACAAGCAAACAACAAAGCTCCAAGTACCTCACAATACAACACTGAGCTACTCATATTCTCTTCTATTGAAATCTTAGAGCGTTTATACTAGACGGGGGAGTTTAAAACATTCTTGCTTGATCATTGTTCTTTCCCCCCAAAATCACAAAACCAAACCCAGATATGTTGATGTAAGTACCTGAAATCAATGAGAACACTTTTGTCTAATGTATGTGGAAGGTGCCTACTGTAATGTATCTAGAAGGGCAAGATTGATCAGGACCATAGATGGGAGCTGATGGATCAATTATAAACCATAATGATTTATAACGATGGTTGATGGAATAAATAATGATGACTTGATTCAGACAGGATGTAGAATGGGGATGGATGGGTTCATCTCTCCTTACAACCACAAAACAAGCCATATTTTGTGAACCAGGCTGTTTGCTGAATAGCCCAGCCACTATGTGTAGGAATAATACCGATGAACGTTAATTCCCTCCCCCTTCCTGTTTCACACAATATTAGAGTTTATTAAAACAAAAAGATAATGGAGAGGAATCTTTGCTATATCAAGTTAATCAAGACTGTTAATCTGATGATTTTGGCAGATGAAACAAGAATGAGGGAAAATAATAAGTTGTCATTCACCACATCTTAACATACATGTTTTACTTTCTTTACCGTAAAGGCAATTCCATATGCATTTTTTTTCTTTTTTTGGTGCTTGAGGAGAGAAAAAATTGAAATATCTGTTTAGCTTATTCCTCCTTTGACCCAGGCTTACTAGCATGTAAAAATCTACCGCTCTTTCCATTTTTCCATATTTTCAAACATGCTGGATATTTGCAAGGATGAACTGAATAAATAAGTAAAGTTGTAGCATTACAATACTTAGAGAGCTGGTTAGGCGTATTGGTTAAGACATCATGCTAGAAACTGGGAGGCCATGAGGCATAAAACCTCAGAGATCGCTTTAGGCATAAAACCAGATAGGTGACTTTGGATCAGTCCTCTCCCAGCCTTAGGAGACAGGCAAACCATTTCTGAAATCTTGCCAAAAATACTGCAGAGACTTGTCTAAGCAATCTCCAGGAGTCAACACTGATTCAAGGGCACAAAAATAAACAAATAATTTATAACATTAAGCCCTTAAAAGTTTCTCATTTTGAAAACTGCTACATTGAAATGAACAGTGTAAATTATTTTGTCCAGGAACAATTAAATTGAACTGTGAACTATTAAACTGCTTGTTGAATTTAACTGTGATGATAATTATCTCTTAATCTATTAATCTTCTTTGATGATAAACTAAAATAATGTCACCAATGATTAGTGAGATAAATTGGAGGAATATATATTTTATCTCAAAACAAAAAAAGGGTGAAACACAAATAATATAAATAACATGAAGAATAAAAATGTTTTTATTTCTTAGAATTTAACATGAGGGTACATAGGGTGCTTTTTTTTTCTGGTACATGCCAACAATTAAGAATAGGGAGAAAAATTCCAAACTGATGTTAGAAATAGTGTTCTTGAAAAATTTGGATGAATAAGCTGTTCTTTTTTAAAACTGGTTTTAATATGGGGGTTGACAGATATTGGCACCTATCCTGGTAAAGATTCAACTTAGCAGTTTCTGTATGGGCAACCAAATGCAAATCTGTAATAAATATGTCCCAATCAAATGAAAAAGAATGAAACGTATCACAAACCAATGTATCAGTCTTAAAAGTGCTGAAGTTGTTTAAAAAAA